AAAATAAATTTGGGCAGCACTTCGTTGTCTGAATGCGGCTCCCTTTCTCAGCTCCCCTCCCTCCCCTTTTATAGAGGTAAAATTCTAACGGTTGTAATTTGAAGAAGGTGGACTTGGAGGCAGAAAAATTAGGGAGTAGTGGTCCATTATTTGGGACTTGGAACTAGTATTTGCACGTTCAATTGAAGCTGTGCGTTTTTGCCTGCATGACGGTCGTCATGGTGTGTGACGGTCGTCACCCGTGTGACGATCGTCATGGAGGTGTGACGGTCGTCACAGCAGCAAAAAGCGCATTCTGTGTTTTTCATGTTGTTTTCATCTGGTTTTCGTCCATATTTCATCTGTAATTGCTTCTTTTCTTCATATTGCTTTGTTTGGACATGATCTTCAAATACCTGCAAAATATCAGACAAATAACATAGAAAAAACCCGAAATCGGATTGAAACCAGTCAAACATTAGTTGAATTATGCGTCAATATATATATACGATTTCGCGTTATCATGTTGTCATTTGCAAACTTCACTGTGTTCTTCGACGAGGGCTTCATGTTGACAAACCAATCTTTCCTTCCAGTCATGTGTGATGAGCATCCTGAGTCCAAGTACCACTGATCTTGGAATCTTTCTTCATCTTTTGTTGTGACCATTAGCAACGTTTCTTCTTCTTCATGTTTCGCCAGCTTTGCATCAGTTTCTTGATTTCTCTTCCTTTCTAGACAATCACTATCATAATGACCATACTTCTGGCAATTGAAACACTGAATGTGGCTTTTGTCTGGCTTTCGACCACCACCTCTTCCTTTACCTGCAACACCACCTCTTTGGTTGCCTTGGTTCCAAGGTTTCTTCTGATTCGATTGGTTTCCTCCTTTGTTGCCATTCCAGCTACCTTTGCCTTTTCTTTCCTTTTCTGTCTGCGCCTGCAAAGCCATATCTTTCGACTTTCCTGCAGCTCTCTCAGTCATCCTCTGTTCATGAGACTCAAGAGTCCCTTGAAGCTCTTCCTTCGTCAACACTGATAGATTTTTTGACTCTTCAATGGCAACTACCACGTGATCGAATTTTGGAGCCAACGGTCTCAAAATCTTTGAGACAACTGCTTTCGTCGTCAGCGCTTCTCCACATACTTTGATTTGATTCACCAACTTTGTAACTCTGGTGAAGAAATCTGTAATGCTTTCGTTGTCTTCCATCTGAAGCAACTCATAGGTTCTCTTGTGAGTTCGTAACCTCACTTCTTTCACCTTCTCTGCGCCTCCAAACGACTTTTCAAGAATCTCCCATGCTTCTTTTGATGAATCAACATCACTAACCTTTTCAAAGTTATCAGGATCAACACACTGATGAATTATAAAGAGCGCTTTATAATCCTTCTTCTTCAATTCTTTGTGCACAGCCTTTTTCGCCTCCGTTGCGTTCTCCCCAAGCGATGTTACTCCGTCCTTCACAAGATCCCAAAAATCTTGATAACAGAATATCACCTTAATCTGCTTGCACCAATTCTCATAATTGTCTTTCTTGAGAATTGGCAGGATCGCCGAAAAGTTGTCGTTCGGATAGTTCATCGCCATCACTATCTTCCTTCCTTGAATCTCTCAACCAGGCTCTGATACCACTGTTGGACTTTCAACTAGGGAGCATTGAACATAGTGGGACTTTTTTTTCTAGAGCAACCTTTGTGAGAGACACACCACATACTCACCAAAAACCTTAAGGTTTTGGGTGAGTATGTGGTGTGTCTCTCGCAAAGGTTGCTCTAGAAAAAAGTCCCACTATGTTCAATGCTCCCTAGTTGAAAGTACAACAGTGGTATCATGAGCCTTTGGTTCGAATAAAGGGAACAACTTACTTGTATCGAAAGTATCCCCATAGGTCGTGGGTTGAGTGTCTCGTTGAAAAATGTCAACGACGGTACAAGGGTGCAGTTGCACAGTTAAAGTTTCCGCTTAAGGGAGAGCATTGAGATAGTCTCACACTTGAGGGAGAGTGTTAAGTATTAACAAGTGTGAGTAGGGTGGATAATAGTCCCACATTGGATAGAAATGTGGTGACTTGAGCATTTATAAGTGAGAGAACCCATACACCTATTACCTTAAGGTTTTGGGTGAGTATGTGGTGTGTCTCTCACAAAGGTTGCTCTAGAAAAAAGTCTCACTATGTTCAATGCTCCATAGTTGAAAGTACAACAAGCTACATGAATAAGTAATGTGAAATAAATATTAATGTTAGTTATGTTGTAGTCTTTATATATTGGTAAGATACATTTTAGATAAACTTATTTAACCGTGTATCATTACAAAGTAGTAGAGTAAAGTGTTAAAAAAACAACTTCTTATCTTTTCGTTGACAACTTATTCCTTTTATGTTACCTTTACACTCATGATGTGAAGCAAATATCGAGTAGATAAACAAATATTATGTTAGACTAATGGTTGGTTAACGCAAGATGTAGTTAAATTTTGCATAATAATATCATCTCAATAAATATCAATTATTTTGATCATTTCATTTCCATTCAATTTTTTTAATATTTATTATATTTAATGATTTTAGTGATAAATGATTTTAAAACTAATATTTTTCGTCGAATAGACTTTGCCAACATCTTATCTATATTTTTTAACAAATTTATTTAAAAAAAGTTGAGATAATAATTTTATTTATTTATTTCTATCAAATAAGCAATTAACAATGTGATCTTTAAAATAATAATTTATATGTCATCTTTAAAATAATAACACTTAGCTTCAAACTAAATATAATTGTTGAAACAATTATGAAATAAATATATATCTCATTAATGTGCATAGTAATTATTAACATTTAACTAAGTGTGAGACTCAAGAAAATATTGAGTTTTAAGATGGTATTGTTCAATCACATTAAAGAGTGTATTTTTCCATCACATTAAAAAAAGATGATACAAAATATTTATAAAATTAAATTAATCTTTTTTTATAGAAAATTTTAAAATAAGTATTAAATATTGATGTGATACTTTTACTATTAATGTCTTAAAATAATAATAAAATGTTGATATTACAATATAGTTGACCCATATCTATATCTATGTACTTTGAGATACACACCACATATCATAATTACTAATGAACTCTTTGAATTTCTTCTAATAAATTTTTGACATGATCAATTCTTTACCATCCATAAGATACATGTGACACAAATATCAATTCTAAGACATGTGACATTTCTAAGATATATGACATATAATTAATATTTAGTTGATTTTATATTCATAAAAATTATAGTAATGGAGAAAATGGAGAGACAAAAAAATAGAGAAAATTTTATCTCCAATTTAATTTAATATTTTATTTATTATTATAATTGTATAATTTAATATTTTATTTATTATTATAATTGTATTAATTTAAAATGACTATAACAGTTTTAATATATAAGAAATCTATGTGCATAATTTTATCAAATTATGTTATGTGAATGGATGGGAGAGAGTAAATATTTATTACCTCATCAAAACACTACAGCTTTGGATCCTCTCTTCTCTTGATAATTGAATAATTAAATAAAAAAAGTCATTTAACAATTATTAATATCTGCAATTTAAAAAAGTCATTTCTCTCTCCTATTAAATGATTTTTTTTATTTAATTATTCATTATAAATTCTGAACCGTTAAATTAGAAACATGAGAGATGACAAGATATATAAAAAAGGAGAGGATCTAAATCCGTTTTCAAACACTACTTATTATATTTCACACTAATAAATAAAATATATTATAATGTACCTACTAAAAATTAATTTGCATGATCTAAGATATTGTATATCTTAAAATAATAATTGTTATTAATTAAAATCAATTAATTAACAAGATAAAAGAACTCTCAGCTAGGAAAAGAAAGATACAGGAAATAATATATTTATTAGTTTCATCTCACACCCACTTTTCAAACACAACTCGTGCAAAATCTTTGTCCCTTTTGCTTTCTTATATTTCCACGTCACTTGTTAATTCAAATTTTTCTTTCCTTTATTGTTTCACTTTTCCATTATGTCTTCTTTTTATTTTTCTACAGACTTTCTGTTTTACTTTTCTACCTACAATATTTTTTTTTATTATTATTATTATAGAAGTTTTGTTAAAGCATATGTGTACTCAAGTCATAATGAGTGACCTCTTCACGTTTTGATTCGACGTATACAAACATTATTTCCCTAAATATATTTTGTACTCCCATTGTCTCAACCTTCATTCTAAATGTATTTAATAATTATACTAATTTATTTTTTAATATATAATTTTATTTAAATATTTTATGGGACATATTTGTGTCATTCATAAATATTAAAAAATATTAAAAAATACTTTGTTGATTCAAATATTTTTATATAGATTCAAATATATAAGTAATGTCAAAATAAATTTAATATTTATATACAAGATCAAATTAATTATAGACACTAATTTATTAATCTTTTAAAAATAATAACTTTTTTATTTCAAAATTTTAATTTTTTTAATTTAATTTTTATTATAATTTAAAAAAAATACACTTATCATACTAGTACCCACGCAAATGCATGAGTATCTCACGAGTATTAACTCAAGATCAAATTTCCACTAAATTCTCCTTATTAAATAAAAAAAACTTTCAGCCTGAGGTTGTTAAAGCTTTTCGTGCGAATTCGAGTTCGGAATCTAATGAACTCTAGGCGTAAAATAAAAAGCTCACTTGAAAAACAAACATATGCTAAATAAATACACATCAACCGAAAGTTACAAGATATTTCAATTCCAGCCGAAAGTTAAAATAGTGAACAGAGAAATTCCTTAGCCAACAAAAGGAAGCAAATTACCAAAGAGAAAGAGACAAATAAGGAGTTGGAGAGATAATGGACAATGATGCGTAGTCTAGCATTGTCCACCCAATCCTCACAAGAAACACTTTTTTGTTTCTTTTCTTTTTAGTAACTCTTTTAAAGCCTCTGTTCAATTTGCGTGAGCGGACTCAGTGTTAAACCACCGCTGAGTTGGCGGCGAGTTTCCAAGCAGACGTTGCAATCAAAGCCCTAGCGCGCCAACCTAGCATAAGACAACCATCATTCTCCTCCACATTGTAATCATCCCCATTGACAAAAAGCTTCAGCAACACACTCGCTTGCTTTAACGCGTTAGGTCCCAAATGAACCGGAGAAAACCCAGCCGAACTGAACCGATTCCTCCTCTGGTTCAGATTCTCATGACGCTCGACCCGGTCTGTTCCCTCACACGCTACCACGTTGCAGATTTGGTTCCCTATGTACACCTCCGACATAGCTTTGTCCTTCTCTTCCGCCGACGGCCCTTCCAGCGAGTCAAACAGAGTCGTGTAGTACTTCAGTGACTCGCAGAACCGGTCGAGAAAAGCCGGTCCATTGTGATTCGCTTCCTGTTCCACGACAGTGACAATCTCCGGCCGAATTTCTCGGATAACAGATAACACTCTCTCAAGCTCACCTGGATAAGCGTTCAGTTTATGAAGCTCGAAAATAGAATTAACAGCGGTGGTTTCAATCTCCGGCGAACTGAGTTCAAGCATGGAAGAATCAAGATCAGCGAGATTATTAACGACTAAACCGCGATATTCAAACTGAATGCCGATCTGCTGCGCATGCTGAGCAAGCCTCCAACCAACCTGTTGGAGATGATCGGAGTTATCAGACGCCGGTGGACCGATTCCGGTGAGACGAAAAACAGGAGGACCACCAGGACGCAAGGCGAGTGCCTGCAAAAGAACCGCCCACTGCATTCCTTCTTTGATAGAGAAATCAATTACATGAACACGATGTTTTCCTTGAAAAGCTTCGAGAATAGCTTGATTCGCTGTAAAGTGAGCAAACTTTAGGTGAGGATAAGATTCATAGAAATGGATTTCAAGCGGATCGGGAACAGGATTCTTTGGAAACACGCCGTAGATTCGCCGGGAAAGAGCTTCGGCGAAGAACGTTGCAACGTTTCTGATAGCACCTTCTTGTGATACAGCTAGGTCTCCGATCTGTTTCACAAGAGCTTCAGCTGCAGGTAGATTGTTTTGTTCAACTGCCTTAGCACAAGCCATTAAAGTGTGTTCAAGCTCTTCAGCTATGTCCATGATTTTTTATCATACAATGATAATTGGATTGAAAGAGTAAAGAGAATAAAATTGGAGAATAAAGGTCCTATGATTGAGTTTTAGGATGTGGATATTGTAAAACAAACAGAGAGAGAGAGAGAGGTGGGATATGAAAGGTAACATAATGAAATAAAAATGTTATTCACTTATTTAGATATTTTAGACTGGAATAAAACAATTTTATCATTTGTCCTAAATTAAAGATATAAAAATGATACGATAAAATAAAATGCATTTCATCTAATTTTCTTCCATTTTTTCATTTTCTAATTAATTCATACAATAAAATTTAAATTTATACAATTTCATTTGATCTTATTTCATTCCATCAATTCAAAGATAGTCTTAGTTTTTATATATTATTTTTTTGAAAGTGACTTATGGTTAAGTTCATAATAGAGAACTAAAACCCAAAACTAAAATAAATAAAAATATAAAAAAACTAACTAGCTAAATAAAATTATAAAACACATTTGAGCAATGCAGAGAGTTAGACAAGTATCATCCATAACCCGAGTCGGTCAGGGAGTCCGACTCCCATCAGCCGAATACCTACGAGGCTGAGTACTGACTACCATCAACCTGATACTTACGTCGAACATGAACTCAACTGGCACACCAACAAATGTAACGGTGACGGTTCATCAATGCGGATGTTACCAGAGCTTCAAATCCTACATTCAGGAAGGGGAGTTACAATAATGATGATCATGTAACGTCAGAAGGTCAAGAGACTCCTCTTAATGGCATATCTTAATGGCAAACTATAAAATAGGCTCCCACATGAGGGTTAAGGAAGACACAATCATCTTGAGACAATACACAACACAAGTGTAGCTCTCAAATCCCCAAATATCCCTTTACGATATAGACAACGTAGTTCTTCTTGTCCAGAATAAGGGGAATTAGCACTTTTGGCGCCCACCGTGGGGCCTAGGTAAAACTCTCTCAGGCCACACCTTACACTAACAACATGTCCTCTGAAGGAGATCCTCCAGACATGGCTCAACTGCTAGCCATGATGGAGGCAATATGTCAGTAGAATGAGACGTTGCAAGACATCATATAAGTCCTGCAACAATAAAGTCAGGATGACGGCGACCATGAGGAGGAGGTTCTCGAGCCACAACCTCTTTCTCAAGAGATATGGGACGACCACGTCCCGGAAAATTTTAAAGCACCATCACTAACCTCTTATGATGGGAAGACGTATCCTCAAGAGCATGTTATTGCCATTAACAATCAAATGGCCATAGTTGCCCATTCAGATTCACTGAAGTACAAGCTCATGGTTGGTACCTTTAAGGATGAGTTCTAAGATGGTACATGAGTCTTCCTCGACTCTCCATTGTAAGCTACCAAGACTTGACTAAGAAGCTAATACAACACTTATCGACAAGCAAGCGCCGAAAGGTGCCCACGACCACACTATTCAGTGTTCGACAGAAACAATCATAATCAATACATGAGTACCTGGCTCGATTCAATGAGGAAACCCTCAAAGTATCTCATCCAAACCAAAAACTATTTGTGGGAGCTTTTCAACATGGATTACGAGTCGGACAGTTCGATGAGTCGTTGGCTCAGAAGTCGGCTATCAGCATGGACGAGATCACTACTCGGGTTGAGTGTTACATTAAAGGAGAAGAAAGTAACCAAGAGAAGAGAGCCTGGGACAGCAGTGAAAAGACAAAGAGCAAGAAAGAGGCGTCAAACAGGATAAAGGAGCATCCCCAGGGAGCTATACGCGAGCGACACGCTCCCAGACCATACAGACAATCATATGAGCCGAACAGAGACCTCGCCCCAATTGAATGCAAGTAGGGGAGATATCCTTAAAGAAGTCGGCCATATGAACCTGTTACTAGAGTCTCATCGTGCCAAAAGAGCCAACACAATCATGGGAAGGCAACCTGAGGCTTGGTGTAATTACCACTCTATACGGGGACATCACACCGAGGACTGTCAACAGCTGAAAAACGAAATTGAAGCTCAAACCCAGAATGGTCATCTCTTGGCATATGTGAAAGATTCTCGACCATAAAATAACAAGAGAAGTCTCTGCCGAGACGACTCGGGACCAGAAAAGTCATCCTAGAAGAAGAGTTCCGATGCCGAAGAGAGTCACGAGACAAAGACAGCTCGACACATGCTAAATACCATCATTGGAGGGTTTGCTGGTGTCAGAAAGAGATATGCTAGGGCAGTCATGCATATCAACCAGAGATCTCTAGAGAAACCGGAAGACAACTTAGATGCTGTAACATTCTCAAAACAAGACACCATAGGAGTCCTAGCTCATGAAAATGATCCCATGGTTATTAAAGTACAAATAAGAGACTAGAGCGTGAAAAGGGTATTAATAGTTCCTGGAAGCTCAACCAACGTACTGTATTGGGATGCTTTCAGAGGAATGAGGCTCGATACGACTGAGTTATTGCCGCTACCGCGAAAATAAGGTGCCGGCAAAACAAAAGAGTCGCCACCTTTCGTTATTTATCCCTCAGAACGGGAAAGGAAACGATCGTAAAAAACCTGACGAAAAGGTATAAGACAAGGTCCGTAACCATTGTCTGGATTCGGGAGCCGGTTATGTAAGGGGAAGGTATTAGCACCTCTCACGTCCATCGTACTCGATGGGATCCACGCTTGTTGTTTTTATCTAACGGGTTTATTTACTATCTACCTATCAAGGCTGGTTTGAAAAGAAAAGAAAATGACTTGGCAAAGCGTCACACTTTATGCCTACGTATTCTCATCAGAGAATGAGAAATCAGAGTCAACGTAGTTCGAGTAACTACGGGTGATGGGGGAAGGTGGCTCGCCAATACGTCAGTATTGTGCCTACGTACTCTGAACATGCATGAGAGATCAAAGCTTACATAGTTCGGGATAGTAACGAGAACTCAGAATCATCTGTTTTATTGAGTAGGGTTAACAAACAGTTCCAACAGTTTGGTGTACGCTGCTCGACCCTTGGAGACTTAGGCGTTACCGTTTGCGGTAGAACTGGGAGTTAACGACACTCTTTTCTTCAGAAAAGCTTCCTTTGAATTATGGGCCCACAGGGCAAAAAGGTTTGACGTTTGTTTTCTGTCTTTTACGGAAGAATTGTTTTTTATGGATGTTTGCAACTAATATCGCACTAGAGACTATAACCTGAGAGTGAATGTGTCGCATGTCACCCTAAGGGTACCATACTAAACATCCATACTGTTGAAGAGTGACCCTTCAATAACCCTTTCTCAAATAGCTTAAGGCTCGTAACGTACAACATCAGTTAACCTTTATTACTGTATTTTGATTTGTTTCAAGATGAGAAGAGAGAACAGGCTCAACTAAGGGGAGACTATCAAGTTCTAATGTCGTCATGCCAAGGATTCATCCTATAGTTGAGGTTTGAAACAGGGAACTCCTAGAAGTTATCATGCATAGGTTTCAACCTACAGTTCTAATCATCACTTCCTTATCAAAGGAAGTGAGATTCCTAGGCGATCATGTCAATGATACAGAAACAGATAAAGCATCGGCTTAAACAGTAAACAGTAAACAACTGTAACTAAAATGCATGTATGCAACAACCAAGCAGAAGGAGCCAAACTCAACTTTTAAGCAAACAAGACACTAAGGCCTTAAACCACACAGACAAGGGAGCGGAGCTCTACCAAATACCAGCAATCAAAGCCATACAGTAAAAATACAAGCAGAGGGAGAAACTCAACCTCTAATGCAATACAAGCAAGGGGAGAAGCTCGACCCTTAGGATGCTCTTAGGCTTATTCAACTACATGACCTAATCTAAATGCATCACACCAATCAAGTCACATTAATACACTTGCATAAGAAGAAAACAGACAAACAGGGAAGCAACTCAACAGCTTCACAGCAAAGCACTCTTCTGACAGCAATCCAGTCCACAGTCTGTAACTGTTCTTTAAGTCCATCCTCTTCAAGATAGGGAAAGGGGTACTCCATATTCAAGCTTTAACAATGCACTCCACCAAGAGAGAAGAGAATCAACAAGATGATTGTTTGACAATGGGAAGCAGACAGGAAACCAAAGGAATCCCATCTGACACTCAACCAGTCATCAGAGAAAGGCATCCTCAAAAGTTCTACTCATTGTAAAATGTCACACATACCTCCTAAGGAGAGATGAGACTTTTAACATGAGGACTTTGAATCATAGTATGGGAATGGAAGGTGAATGAGACCAACCATTATTTGAAGAAAAATCTATTTCTAAAGCTCTCTCCTAAAGCCCTTATCTTATAAGCTACAAAAAGCTAACAAAAAGACAAGAAAAGCTCCAATCCAAGCTCCACCAGCCACTCCACACAAGCTTCATCGTGTCCATGATATCCTCCAATAAGAACTAGAAGCCCATTATGCAAGGAAAGCCCACTTTGAGTCCATTCCAAACAATCACCAAAGTTGAAACACCAAACGAACAATCAACTTGGATATTCTATCTAAAATACCAAAACACATTCTAAAAATCCAATTATTTTTTTATGGGAACATGCACTTGTTAATGATCTACAGTTCAAAAATCAGGACCTGATTCAATCTCTAAGTCCTCTAATAAAATTCTAAGTTGAAAGGTATCACTAAAGAGATCCACTAAAGATCACTCCTAAACAACTACACTAAAATCATATTTACACTCATCTAAAAATCATGATAAAAATCACAAGGCAACATCAATATGTACACAAACAACATACAAAAATCCAAGATCAAATTCAGAACCAGGAGTGAGAAAGAAAATGGACAAAATCACAACATCATTATTTCACCATTAAACACATATTAAACTAAAAAATATGAAATAAAATGAAAATGCATGAAAAATGAAAAATAAAAGCATGACAAAATTCTAAACATTCTAATTTGTATCCACAATTTTCCTCAGAATTTAATATCAGTTATTACTATTTTTTGTGAATTAATTTCAACCAGCATGAAAACAAAAAATT